CTTCCACCTCGGTACCCCGGCCGATGGGATGGGCCACGGGTGGCTGGGTCGGTACCGCAGTACAAGCTCGAGAGAGAGAGAAAAAACACTGAGACAGCATTAGTGGAGGTGCAGGGTGGACACTGACGATCCTACAGACCACGCCCCCAACCCTCCGCTGTCCCACCCGTCCTCCCCCGAGCCCATCCCTCTGAGACAAAAAATAAAAACGTAGAAAAAATCTCTGTACAGACTCCCCGGTGGGAAAACGGGGGCTGGGGTGGTGGCTCTTCCTGGAGCCCACTCCCCGACAAATTTACAACCCAAGTCCATGGCTCAAAAACAAAATCTGCCAAGGCGGTGCTGGGGCCGCAGCGCCACCCCCGCCCCTGCCCCGTCGGCGCTGGTGCTCAGAAGGCGGACAGCTGCGCCAGGCTGAGGCGGCAGTCGATGCTGGAGTTGTCCGGGCCCGTGTAGGCCAGGCCTAGGGGCTCTAGGAAGGCCCGGCAGGCGGCCTCGCCCTCGAAGGCCAGCTCGGCCTGCAGGTAGGAGACTGGCAGCGCAGGGCGGAAGCTACGGAGACAAGAGGAGAAGGCGATGAGGCGGGCGGCGGACAGTGGAGGGCCCCACGAGCAGGAAGTGGGTGCCCCCCATTCCGGCACCCAAAAGGTTAAGATCCTCAGCATGTGGCCTGCTGAAGCCCTCCCCACCCCCCCCAGCCTCCCCACCTCAGGGCTTGGGGGGGCCCGGGGTGGGGTTGGGGGCCCCAACCCCAGCTGTGCCCCGCCTAGCCCTCACTTACCTGTGCAAGGGACCGGGAGGAGAGGGGATAGGAGGGAAGGGCCCAGCTGGCTCCTCTGCTGGCTCGGGGCCTGAGCAGACCCTCAGAAGAGGGCCCACTGTGGCCGAGGGGCAGGCGCCAGGCAGAGGGAGCGACACATGGGGGCGGGTGTGGGATGGCAGGAGTGCCGGCTACTCCGGAGAACCTGCTCTGACCTGGGTGAGACTTCTGGCTGCTAATAGACCTGGCCTGTGCCAGGAAATAGCTCTTCCAACTCACTGAATTCCCTCCTGTAAGCAATGTCGCCCTACCCTCTAACACGCACTGAGGACAGCACAGCCCAAGAGGCAGAGCCACTGGGCCAGTGTCCCCCTAGGGAAGAAGTGGTAGAAAGTACTGGAACCAGTGTTGCCTCAAGCCCAAGCTTCATCGTGGCCCTGAATGACTGGGGAGGGGGCGGGGCTGGTCTGGACCCAATTGGCTCTGGGAGGGATGTGTCTGTCAAAGAAAGGCGGTGCCACCTTTACAACTGGGAGGGTACCTGGAGAGCAAGAGGCCAGGGTCTGTCCCCCAGGCCAAGCACATGTAAGGCTAAGCAAGAGGGGAGACAGTAACCTACCCTACAGCCCTGGGACAGCATGGGAGCTGAGGAACTGCCCAAGAGCAAACTCGGGCAGCCCTGCAGGGCCCTCCAGGCCCACGGCCTGTCCTGTGCACCCACCTCCTGTTTCTGCCCCACCTCTCCCCTCTATGTCCTCGGCCCCTGCTCTGGCTCCACCTCTCCCTTAAATATTCTTTATCCCCCCCTTTAAATACTCTTGACCCAACTGGATCCTAGGAAGTCTTAACCTTCAGGGTGAGTGTCCCTCCCCAGCTCCACACCATCCCCATGGCTCCCAAGCTAACTGACCTCTGACCAGGGGCTCCCAACCTCAGCAAGACTGACCCGGGGCGTCTCCCTCCCAACTGAGCAGGCACACTCCTCATCTGCCGAACGGTGGGCATGCTCTTTTGAGTACTGTCACGGACTCGCCTGCCCACTAAACAAGTCTGTGCTCTCCCAGGAGCTCAAGTGGGAGTGAGGCCTTGTCCCTCAGACCACAGCTGTGAAGGGCAGGGCCGGCTTTACTGCTTCTCCCCAGAGAAGGAGCTCAGCGACAGGAGAGCCGAGGAAAGGTGAGCAGAGGCCCCGGAGGGAGGGGAGCCCAGAGCAAGAAGGCAGACTGGGGTCCAGGGTGATGTGAGCAGGAGGAAGAAAAGCAAGGGGACCTCAGAGCAGTGAGAGGGAGAGACGGAGGGCAGGCTGGGCGAAAGAAAGGGGGAGGGCTGGAGATGGGAAAAGAAAACCAGGACACGAGG